CAAAAAAAAAAAAAAAAAAGTTTATTGAAAAAAACCCAAAAAACAGGCTGGGCTCAGTGGCTCAGCCTGTAATCCTAGCACTTTGGGAGGCCAAGGTGAGAGGACTGCCTGAGCCTGCAGGTTCAAGACCCACCCAGGCAACATGGCGAGACCTCATCTCTACAATAAATCAAAAATTAGCCCGGCGTGGTAGCGCGCACCTGTAGTTCTGGCTACTTGGAAGGCTGAGGTGGAAGGATCGCAGAAGCCCAGTAGGTCGAGGCTGTGGTGGCGGGAGCATACCACTGCCCTCCAGCCTGGATGACAGAGTGATACTCCAACTCAAAAAAAAAACTTGATCATTTATGTCCTCAGAGAGATTGAAAAAGATAATGCACAAACCAAAGAGCTCCCAATGGCCAAAGCTAGAACAATTTGAGCAATAAAATAGTATTAGATTATAACCCAAAGTATAAAATAAATATCCATGAGTCCATATTGATATAAATAAATGACTGAATAAATAAATGGAGAAGAGACAGACCTTCCAGCAGAAAATTTCTAAATAATTTATACGGACATTCTGCCCTCAGGAAGGTGAAACAAAATTCCCACTACTTCCAAAGAGTACAGGATAGAAAAAAGTTGGTGGGTACTTTCATATACGGCTAGTAGGAATGTGAAGGATGCATACTTTCTGGAAGGTTACTTGACAATCAAAAGGCTTTTAATATGTATATTTGATTTGTCTTAGATGAGTGTGCAAAGATGTATATAGATGGTTGATCACTGCAGTGAGTTTGTAAAACAAAAAATAAACTACTAGATGAACTGCTAGATGCTAAGAATTCCATGCAAGACAGACCAATTGGATCAACACTCCTAACCTGCACTCTATTAAAGCAATCACTTCAAATTGGCATCTGATGGTTTAAAAAAACTTTCGGCCTCTGCCTCTTAGAACCCTGTATCTTCAATTCAAGTTAGAGAAAACATTCAACTAACTACACCATCTCTCACCAATCTTCTCAGTCTACAACATGCAATTAAAATGGTTTCCAAAGATGCTAGTGCTCCAGTACATGATGTATTCTAAAGATCTTATTTAAGAGACTGTCTTCTAACCATTACATTGGTTGAAATGATGGATTGGGGGAAGACTAGTCACACATACATAATAAATACATTCCAGCCAGGTTCAGTGGCTCAGCCTGTAATCCCGCGCCTTTGGGAGGCTGAGGTGAGTGGATTGTCTGAGCCCGCGGGTTCAAGACCCGCCTGGCCAGCGAGACCTCATCTCTAGAATAAATCAAAAAATCAGCTGGGCAGGGTAGCGCATGCCTGTAATTCCAGCTACTTGGAAGGTTGAGGCGGAAGGATCGCCAGAGCCCAGCAGGTTGAGGCTGCGGTGGCCAGGAGTGGCCACTGCACTCCAGTCTGGGCGACAGAATGAGACTCCAACTCAAAAAAATAAATAAATAAATACATTCCACCAAAATCATAAAAAAAAGTTTCTTACTAAGTATTAATAAGAATATTCTGAGCCCGCGGGTTTAGGACCCGCCTGGGCAACTTGGCGAGACCTCATCTCTACAATAAGTCAAAAATTAGCTGGGCGTGGTAGCGCACGCCTGTAGTTCCAGCTACTCGGAAGGCTGAGGCAGAAGGATCGTCGGAGCCCAGCGGGTCGAGGCTGCGGTGGCTGGGAGCGGCCACTGCACTCCAGTCTGAGCGACAGAGTGAGACTCCAACTCAAAAAAAAAAAAAGAATATTACTAAAATAGCGCATCCATGAAGAAAGAACAAGAAACAAGATGCTAAGGTCAAATTAAGATCAGAACAAAAAAGATTAAGAGAACAAAAAAGGATCAGGTGCAGTGACTCACCCCTGCAATTCCAGAATTTTGGGAGGCTGAAACAGAAGGATTGCTTGAGCCCAAGAGTTCTAGATCAGGCTAAGCAACATAGCGAGACCTTGTCTCTCCAAAAAATATAAAAATTAAGGCCAGGCATGGTGGCTCATATCTGTAATATAAGCACTTTGGGAAAAAAAAGAAAAAACAATCCCAAGCTTCCTAGAAATAATGGCCAGAACCTTCCCAAACAAGGTTAAAGACATAAATTCACAGATTTAAGAAGCTCAGTGAACTCCAAGTAATGATCTAACACAATTATGAAATAACAATACTCAGATGATGTGGGGGAGATCAGAAAACATTCAGGTGTGAGATTGGGGGGGGTGTGGGGAGAACAGAACAGTTCAAGAAATGACAGCTAAATTCTCATATTCCATAATGGAAAGCCAACAGTTAACACCTAAAATTGAAAGATCAAAAAATATCTAACTAACTTGTTTAGGGAAAAAGAGATAAATACCCTAAGAATCATTTAAGAGTTTAAAGTAAGCCGGGCTCTGAGCCTGCAGGTTCAAGACCCGCCTGGGCAACTTGGCGAGATCTCATCTCTACAATAAATCAAAAATTAGCCTGGCGTGGTAGAGCGCGCCTGTAGTTCCAGCTACTCGGAAGGCTGAGGTAGAAGGATCATCGAAGCCCAACAGGTCGAGGCTGCGGTGGCCGGGAGCGTGCGGCTGCCCTCCAGCCTAGGTGACAGAGTGAGAATCCAACTCAAAAAAATAAAAAAATAAAAAATAAATAAAATATTTACATATCATTGTTTATTTTAAGATGGCAATGTGATAAATATCTACTGGAAAACATTTAATATTGTTACTAAAACACTTTAAGTTATAGGTAAATTAGTATTTATCTTTAAACATAAGTAAAGGTCACCAAAATAAGAAAGTAAGCAGAAAGAATATTAGGCAATTAGCCTAAAAGCCATTTGTTACTCAATTTCCTCCTTCACTTTCCTTACACTGAGTTTTCAAGGCTAGTTATATTTGTAGGTAAAATTGGTTTGATGCAGACAGGTCCTGTGTTCTTCTGCCTTAGTAATGTCAAAAAATATGTGGACTAAACATGAACAAGTAGAAGGTGGCAATGGCAGAATGTGGATCTGAATGGTGCATAATGAGTGGAATGAAATGGACTTCTGAAAAACTGACATGCAGAGTGAATTAAAATATACAATTCTCTATATTTTGTGAACATTTCAGGAAACTCTGCTTCAGTCCAGTACCCTTTTGTGCTAAACAGAAATGACAAGTGAGTTTTCAAAATAGCTATAGAATTAAATATGTTCTTGATTCTATATAAACCCAAGTCAAAATCAGCTTAAGTAAAATTCTCTTCCGTACAAATGCTGATGTATTCAGCCAAAGAACTAAATTTAGATATTTTTAACTTCATACTACACAATAAGCAGTTATTCTTAATAATGTCCCAAGAGAAAAAAAAATATATATATCTGTTTTAAAAGGTTGTTTCGTAAACAACTCAAAATCTGTGCTTAACATACACAAATCCAGTCCCTTTGTACTAAAGGCAACTACAACAGTTATTACATGATCAATGGCTTAGGGGCTGAAGTCAGATTTTGGTTGCTATGAACATCAATCATTTAAAAAATCTGGTACAACTGACAGCCCTCTGTATCTTCAAAATTGTTGCTAACAGTCATTCCCAGAGATTTTCAATTTTGGGATCTACTATATTTGATTTTCAGGGAATGATATTTTTGGAAAAATATATGCCAAACAGACATGAATGCCAGATAATATCCTCATAAACATCCTCTAATGGCAAAGCATTTTTAGACCTTCTACTTAGAGGAACATGAACAAAACTAAAATTTCAAATCTACCTGCCTCAAAAATAGGATCGTGAATGATTTTTTAAACCAAATTTTCTACTCTCTATATTATTATGGTTCTCTAGTTTATTTTTTATTTTATTTTATTTTATCTTTTTGAGTTGGAGTCTCACTCAGTCACCCAGACTGGAGTGCAGTGGCTGCTCCTGGCCACCGCAGCCTCGACCTGCTGGGCTCTGGCGATCCTTCCGCCTCAGCCTTCCAAGTAGCCAGAATTACAGGCATGCGCTACCACGCCTGGTTGATTTTTGATTTATTGTAGAGATGAGGTCTCGCTGCCCAGGTGGGTCTCGAACCCACGGGCTCAGGCAATCCACTCAACTCAGCCTCCCAAAGGCGCGGGATTATAGGCTGAGCCACCGAGCCCGGCTGGTTCTCTAGTTTAAAAAAACATGCTAGAAATTGCTAGCAGCAGTTTCCTCTGGGGCAAAGAACTACATGGCTAGGAGACAGGAAAGAGGTTTGAATTTTACATACTATGTATGTGTGAGTCTTTTAAATAAAGTTCAAAATGGTCAGGATGAGTAGGTATTGGTGAAGTGTTTATTTTGCTAGGAAGATGTTTCAAGGGAAATTTGGATAAGTAACTTAAAAAATGAGGTACTTCGAAATTTAATAGTTGTCTTTTTAATAGCTGGGATCAAACTTGCTTACAGAACTTAGAAGTATTTAAATTGTTGTCTTCCAAGACAGATGCTAGCTTTTAAAACTCCTCGTAGTTTTTTCATAAACTGATGCCTAAAAGAAAAATTCTACCTTCTGTTAAAATGGACAAAAGCGAAATAGCTAAACTTGGCTTTCTGAGTTCCCAAGGTCTACCTATGTAGGCAGAGTCAAGTGACTAAAGCTCTGACATACCTGAAGGAGAAGAAAGCCACCACCTACTGCAGTTGCTGCAAGTTTTCCAACTTTCTGGAACAAAAATCCTGCACACCTTTAATAAAAGAAATAACAAAAAATGAGAACAATCAATGATGTACTAAATCTTCTCTCTTCTACTTTTTGTTGCTTTCCTAATAAAATCTTAACGTCATCCCACTTCTTTTGATCATGTCCCTTTTACCTGCTGAGAAACCTTGCCAGCCTCTACTCTCTCCAAGCCTTCTGCTCCAACCTGATTAATTTCCAAATAGGTCATCATCTACCTGCAATTCCATCTCAATAACTACACTTCAGCCCACAAGTCTCAAGACCTTATCTACGTCTACCTCTTTTTGAGTTGGGGGGTCTCACTCTGTTCTCCAGGCTGGAGGGCAGTGATCCTTCTGCCTCAGTCTCCCAAGTACCTGGGAGTACAGGCGTGTGCCACCATGCCCAGCTAAATTTTTTTTGGTAGAGACAGGGTCTCAGTATATTGCCCAGGCTGGTCTCAAGTTCCTTAGCTCAAGCAATCCTCTCACCTCAGCCCCTCATAGTGCTAGGATTACAGCCATGGGACACTGTACTTGGCTTTATTTATTTTTCCTTTCTTGTTTTGGGGTAGAGATGGGGGAGTGCAGTGGCATGATCCTAGCTCACAGCAGCCTCCAACTCCTGGGCTCAAGGGATTCTCCCACCTCAGTCTCCTCAGCTGGGACTACAGGCACACCTCACCACAACCAGCTATTTTTAATTTCTTTTTTTGTAGAGATGGGGTCTCACTATGTTGCCTGGGCTGGTCTCAAACTCTTGGGCTTAAGAGATTCTCCTGCTTCAGTCTCTCAAAGTGCTGGAATTACAGGCATTAGCCTACTTTTTTTTTTTTTTATATTAAACCTGTTTTGTGTGTCTCACTTACCCTGGAAGTTAGTCAGCCTGTACTTCATTTTTTTTTTTTTTCAAAAAAAGATTTTTTTTTTTTGAGTTGGAGTC